TAAAGACTTGTGCAAGTGCATCAGACGGCCCAATTTTCAATTTTCAAATAATATACAATACGAGATTGAAATAAAGATTTATAATGTTTTTCTTTGTTTTTTTTTCGGGCCACCAGATTTCATTTTCGGGCCACCAAAAATTGAAAATCAATGATTTTGGTGGCCCGATCGGGCCACTGAAAAAAAAAGTTAGTGTCGAGCCTTGCCTAACACTAACCATATCAAATAGTGACCAGTGTACGTTCTGGTATACCGGACCGTAACCAGGGTACCGTTCCGGCAGTAACCTGGAGGACATAGACCCAAGGATAGAGAACATGGGTCCCAATAAAACCAATGTGCCTAACCCTAACCTATTATATTGATGTAAATGACATTGGTTTTATTGGGACCCATGTTCTCTATCCTTGAACCGACCCTATGAGCGCCACTGGCATTCGCCATTATGGCATTAAGTCGTGCAGTGTGTTCCCTATATTAATTGTGTATTCTTACGCACGGTATTCTTGAAATCTTATGCTCAAAAATTATTATCCCAGAAGTAACAAAAATAAAATAAATATAATATTATGATAAAACACACGGTGTAGCCTGTAGGCCCTATGCTGCCTGCAGATAATAAACGAATACCGTACCAAATATTTCACATTCAGTGATAGCAAGAGTAGGATAATAACACATTTATTATCACATTAATCACATGTTATTATCTACTCTTGGTGATAGTCATGCGTGATCCATCTTTGCTGGAAGAAAATGAGAAAAACTATGACAGGACGGCTTTTTACAATACACCAGTAATGTTCTTACCTTTCACTGGGTTGTCAAATTTTATGAAAACCTCACAAGCTTTCACAAAAGGATGAAACATAAGCGGCTGGTAATGGAAAATTTCTATAACAACCGGTTGAAACTGGTACGGCCCGCCATATTCGGCGCACACTCGGTTATTTCCGTCAGCGCGGTAATGTATAAATGTCAAAACATCAAAACATATTAAAATATTCATCAATTGCTGAAACATAACTTACAATAAAATATTACAAATAATTTTCAAATGCATTTGTATGGTAAATAAGTGTATTATTCTATATAGGAAAATCCCGCCGAAGCAGTAGAATAAGCCACTTCGTATCGTTACGCACTGGAGCTTTATGACGTCATCGGGTCATAGGTCATTTGTACATAGTGAGAATATCGATCGCGCGTTTGCTCATACGCGTTTGCCGTATGCATAATATGCATAAATGTTATACAGAAGCTATGTAAAATCGTGTGTGCGTTTGTATTCTGCACTGAACCGATCGACTATCTGCCCGTGCTTTTTGTTTTTTGGATTTTTACGTGTGTGTATGATATTCATTGTGGGGTATTTTAGGTAGATATATGCAGTATCGGTTCTTCTCGGTCAGTCAGTCTCGGTCATATCATTTATTTATGGATGTCTTTTTGCTCCCTGCATTTCTCAATTCTAATACAACAGAAATGCACACTCAGGCACACATGTAAATAACTTGCAAAGCATATCTATTGATTCATGTTTAATGCACATCTAACTACATATGAACAAGGAGGAATGTTAACCTCTAAATACATTGTACAAGCAATTAAAGCAATGAAAATGGGGAAATTATGTACGTGTATACTTGTATGAAACCTGCAAATGTGATAATTTATAATGTAGCAAGTATAAAAAATAGCAATGAAATAAACGCGTTTTCATTTGAGAGACAGCAGCTAGGGAATAAACATGTATCATAATTTCTTATATTTCTTATTATTAATATATATGAAAACCTTCAATTTAAGTACCATTTAATATTAATAATAAAAAATATATGCGTGACTCCTGTTTCATGTGTAAATGGTATTTTAGCTGCCATAGTATAGACATAAATTGTAATCAAAATACTAATAACTGAAATAGTATGCATTCAAACAATGTTATGATTATTATATTATTTTATGTTTATTAATGAATGCTATTTAATTATTGAATGTTCGTTGCTTTATTAATTAAGTATATAATTGAGAATGAGATGTAACTGCATGTGTATGAATGATGCAATGCCAAAATGGTGATGGAGACGTCAGATGTTCATTATGACAATTACAGAAACTTTGGTGAGGATGAAAAATATTAAGGAATTAAACCTTTAGTACACGTGTGCGTTCTTTCTTCGCTTCCTATACTGTATGTTTGATCGATTTTTCGGTTTTTGAGGCGTACGTGTGGGCTTTCGTGTAGAACGTGGCAAAGACTCCTTATTTGTCCCTGTCCAATACCTCATTCTACCGACTTTAGGGGCTAAAAATTTGTGAATGTAACTTCTTTTTGGAAGCAATGCCAGTAAATCGATTCACTGAAGTGTCATTTTTTGTCACAATTGATGTCACGAAGTTGTCTTTTTCTCTTTGCTTCAACCTGGTCACTTTCAACTTTTGCTGGAGATGATAGTTCTTCTGTTTTAGCTCGTCTATCACAGACTGTTTTTCTTTACAAGAAGGGCAAGAGGTGGCATATTTGGAAGAGTAATGGTGGTCAACAAGATTATTGTCTTTTGATTCAGGTTGTGGATCTTCTATTACATTAATAAATTTCTGTATCTTTCTCAGGGAGAGTTTCATTGAAATCTACAAGGTCTGTTGTGCTTAAAGTTTCTTCCATTTTTCTTTTGAGAGCTCTCTTTCTTGGGATATGTATTCTGCCCGTTCTCGTGAAGGATTGCGAGGTGCTTTGGCAGAGGAATGACCAGGCGAATTATAACCAAGCTTCTCTGTGGGATCCGGCTATACTGTAGTTGGTTCCCCTTCTTTGAAGTGTTCTGAACAAATTCTGCCTTGGTAGTTCGGCTGCCAATTAATTATGACCACTCTTAGTTTTTCGATTCACAAGCTTTGCCCACCTGCGTCGGCCATCAGGATCTTTGTTATCCGACGGAAAAGGATGTAACACAAAAGGTGGCTTGCAGACACAGCTTCCAAACCTATAACCGTGTCTATCACAAAGCTGGGTATACCATCGGTCTAGCTTGTGGATGCTATTTGAGCATCCAATGACTGCACACATCCTCCCTATTATGAGCTGATAAAAATCTGTGGATTCAGAACAAATAATCAACGCAATAATTAAAAATTATCAAAAAAAAATTATTTAGAAAATACAGAGACAGCGTGTGAATTTCTCATATCAATTATATACTGATTTTGTTGGTAGATTTGCAGAAATAAACTTATACTTTTCGTAGACAAACAATAATAAATGAGACATCATTCATGATCATTGTTCCTGCTGCTACAACCAGTACCAATCATAATAATAATTATTATTATTTATATTTAATATAATTATCACAATTAGAATTTACTATAATTTACTTAGATAAAGAAGTAAATTAGCAGCTTAAAACTTGAATCCAAACATTTACAATTAAAGTAATCCCATGAATGATGCAATGAGAAAATGGTGATGGAGACGTCAGATGTCCATGATGACAACTACAGGAACTTTGGTGAGAATGAAAAATATTAAAGAAACCTTTCAATAAATGATGGACTTAAAATAGTGTTATAATGTCTTAATTCTCATGTGTACAAATAGCTACTAGGTAAACTCGAAAGTTTTTCACACATGCATCTTTATGTTATTGCCATAATTAGTACTGAAATAATTACATGGGTCCTTTATAAACATGTATCCCTATACCTAAAAGACAGGATATCAGTTATAACGACGCATTTTTCCATTTATCAACTAAGTAACAGACAACAAAATTGAACAAATAAATTGTATTTGTTCTACATGTATCAATGAAATTTACACACATTCTATATTGGGCAAATCTTAGTTAAATGTGATGTTATTTCCAACTTAGACAAATACAGAACGTACGGTTCCACTTGCTATCACATGCCACGAAGACCAAGCGAGCGTTTTATGTACAATTGACCTTTGGCAAAAGTTCATGCCAGAATCTCGCACATGCTCAATGCGTAACTACGAAGTGGCTTATTGACCAATCACAAGCACGCGTACGGCAATCCGACCGCGTGATTTTTTTTCCTAGGTTAATCCAGAGCTCAGATCCAGAGCATATAAATCTATTATATAGATGATCAAATAACTAGATCTATTATTATTAAATATTATCAAATATTACTATCATATTTATATTATACTATATATACTATATACTATATATTATACTATATACTATATATTATACTATATATACAATTATCAAATATTAGATCTATAAAATATATTTATATGCTCTGGTTAATCAAGAGCATAGGTGCTGCCATTTGTTGATACAAATCACGTGCTTCAAACTCCTGTTTTATTGTGCATTGTGACCCTAACCATAACCCTAACATTAACCCTAACCCTAACCCTATTTAAAAAATATATATAAAAAATTAAATTTTTAATTGTAAAAATTAATTGTTGTAAATAAATCATGTAAATATTTGTGTTAATTGAAAAAAAATTGTTAAACAGATAAAGATAGAAAAATACAGAAAACAGGAAAATAATTAAAAAACGGATGGGATTCGATCCACCGACCTTCCAGCCTTGCCTTTCATGCTGTACTCGCTTAACCTGTATAATACCAGTTGCCATGTTACGCTTGACTGCGTTTGCTACACTACCGGCCGTTACGATCAGGAGCGGTAATCATTAACGTTAGTACTCGCTCGGCTATTGATCGTTTTTGGAATTACAAATTTTGGATGTGTAAACCAGAGCACTTAAATCAACTAAGTTGATTTAAAGGGAAAGTTTACTCTAGGTTCTAGAGCTATTTTCAGCTAATTTAGGTTATAATTACACTACATAAAAAGTTTCATGGTTCAATCACCATTATAATTTTTTTTTTTAAAGGGACAGTAGCCTCTAGGATTTTACTGCATACAA